TGTTATCTGTCAGTATCATTTTGTCCTTGTATCGGGGTTGAAGGGTTGAGTCTTTCTTTCTTAACCTCAGAACAGTACCAGGCAACTTAGCTCCTCACTATCGCCGGAGGATAAAAAATATGAGTCCTTTTCCCTTCCTTTGTCGCTTTTACCAGGGGCACCCAACGACAATTTTCGGAAAAATATCTGTTCGGAAGACGATTTGAAATCTAGAATTTTCGGAACATTTGTTGTAAAATTTCTTGCTTGCCTGCCTCTCCTAGGATTTTCGAACATCTAAAAAATGGTATAATTGCCTATTTTTAACTGATTTTTACCCTAAAAAGGTCACCTAGAATTTTCGGGAGCCTTTTTTCTGGCTGAAATTTTCGAAAAGGCGAGTTTTGATCCCTATAATTTTCGGATCACTAGACTTTCAGCTAGGAAATCCGAACAGATGAAAAATTTTTAGGGGATAAAAATATGCCTTTATCTACCGTTTAAATACTAAAATACGTTTAACAATGCTATGTTTAAGTGGTTTTGAACTATATTCTCGTTGGGTGCCCCTGTTTTACTTTGATGTTTTTCCCGGTATTCTTCTTCCGTCCACTTAACCCGTCTTCGCTGAATATCTAGTTTTGCTTCACGTCTTCTTTGCATGTCAGTCTCAACAAATTCTCCTTCAGCTCCGTTTTCGCCATAACCTTATCCACTCGACCTCACCTTCGCCTTTTTCAATCTCTCAGACTGCTCTTCGATGCAACTCGCATACAAATCACTTCCGAAGGTAAAAAGAACTCAAAGGTTTTCTTGCTGAGGTATTTTTTCGTCCTTGCGAACTCTTTTTTCCTTTTTTCTTCGCGCCTTTGCGCATGTAGAGAAACAACTTCCCATTTTGCAATAAATTAAATTTCCCACAGAACGGTCGGCAGCACATCTTCACAAGAAAACAGTGCTTTTTACTTTAAAGTTTCCTTTGTGACGTTTGAAAGACGTAATTTAACAATACGCGCTTTAGAATTTAAGAACAGCCAGCAAAATCTAACCGAACGCGTTCCTTTCTGCATTGACATTCTGTTGCTGTAGCAAGGGTCATCCGATTAATCTAAACCTTAAATGAAATATATTGTATTATCGTAAGTTATTTATTTATCGCATCGGCAAGAAGGCAATTTGCTTTCTTTGCTTTGTCACACTGCACACTGTAAGGCAATGCTGCAAACCAATTTCTAGCCGATACCGGCGCGCGTGCGTTGTGCGCCTAAGCGCGAGGACTGAGAACATGAGTGATGCGAGCGAATTATTTCAGCAGCAAGCATTTTTTGCTCAAACAGTGAAACAAAAATATTTCAACGTAGAGAAAAGTGCGATTATCTGAGAAACTTAGTTTCGGCAAGCTTCTGGTAATGAAGAGTGTTCTTTTATGCTCCCCGTTTTTTGTCCGCATTATTTTGTCGATGTTACTGGCGTATGCTCTTTCCTACGCAGAGGCTAGCTCCCACCGGGTATCCATTAAAAATAGTGATGATTAGAAGAAAAATTGTAAGCGCGACTCGTGCCCCGCGCGTCGCCCTGCGCGCTTTTAATTTTCCCTCTCCCCAGCCTCCCTACGACAACTCGAGAAATGAGCTATCACACTTCAGAAGTCCTTACATAAAGCCAACGCCCAAACAGTACCCAAAATGGCGTCAAGCACAAATTTGAAATATTGGCGGCAACTCTTGATTTCGCGGAAACGTTCCAGATTGAGTACGTCAACCTACAGAAAAAAACTTGCTGAGGGCTCAAGCTCTTTTTTGACCCATTTAGTATCAAAAGAGATGAATCGCAAACGGTCAATTATTTAATCTAATGCATTGGATTCGAACATGCGTGTGGGGGATCGTACAACGATTAAGGATTCCAAGTATTTCGTCCATGTTATCTGTGCATCGGTGCTTACTTAATACTTAAGGTAAGTAGCATTGATTGCATTGGTAAAAATAGAAATACGCACTCGCAGAGTTCTGCTATAGAGGGCCTGGCGTTATATAAAAGCAGGGAGCTAGAGTATTCCCCCACCCCACCACCACCACGTGTTTACCCTAGGAAAAGACTCAAAGACAGCGCAGATATACAAGCAAATATTTTCAGGGAAAAAAGAAAAGAGTTGCTTCAGTTAGCTCAGTGAGCACAGAAAGGCATGTGAAAGCTAATTAAACCACAAGCTGATTTTTTTGATAGATAGGTTAACCTGGTATTCCCAGGTCAACGGTCAACATGCTTGGTAACTAAACACAATCATAAAGCCCTAAAATGCAGGTTAGAAAACTTGTCTCAGGTAGGCGAGTTATATTACAAGGTAGTTATGGTTACCCTAGCAGCAGGGTAACCCTCCCTCCCTAAAAACTGAGAGGCCTCTGTGAAGCTGAGAAGAAAAAAGAAAAGGAAGAGCGTTGATACTGGGAGTTCCACACTACCCTAGCCAGGACGCCTGTTTACAGGCTATAGAAACGGGCTAGTTGCTCTCCCCACACTACCCTAGCCAGGGAGCCTGTTTACAGGCCATAGAAACAGGCTTGTTGCTCTCCCCACCCTAATAAATACATTTTTGTTGTTGTTTTGTTGTTACTATGTATGTTGCAGTATTACAATTTTCTTTGGAGGGGATGGGGGTACAGGAGAAAGCACTGGTTATCATTGTTATGTGATGTCAAGAGAACGTAAAAGCCTCTACCATGACAGAGGTTTGTATGTTTTCTTGGTGATGTACAAAACAAAGAGGCCAGGGAGGGAGACATATACCCCCCCCCCCCCCCCCCCCGCCATCAAAAAGGAGGGCCAACAAAAACGCGCCGGGTGCGGCTATTTCTTTTGTTCACCGTCTGCCCCCCCCACCGACGGGGGGTCTCTTTGCGGGTCAAAAAATATTTATGTTTGAAGATAAATTCACAAAGGGGGAAAGGGGAAAGCACTGGTTTTTTTTGTTTTGTTGGTGTAAAAGAAATGAAAAGCCCATACCAATGGAGAGGTTTGTATGTTTTTTTGGGGAAGGAACAAAAAAAGAGGGCAGGGAGGGAGACATATACCCCCCCCCCCCCCCGCTTCATAAAGCAAGATGGCAGCTACACAAAATGTGTGCATGCTGATAACTTGCTTTGATGCACGGCTGCACCCAGTACAGCTGGTGGCTATCTTAGGCTAGTAAAACATTGTACTGTTATGAAGTTAAATCTGCAAAATAGTACTGATAGGAGTAAACAAGTCTGTTACTTGAGAACAACTTAAATTGATGGCTTTGGATAACTAGAATATTTCATTATTTATTTCAGTCTGATCCTTTTTGTCATCCTCATGAGTGCAAAGTCATGAAGTGAGAGGTCCCTTAAGGCAATCAGATCTTGCAAGAAAGCTCAGGATGTCTTAATGTAAGAATACCTTTGAATTTGCTCCTTTTTTGTCACTTTATCAAATTTAGTGAGATGTGCTCGTCATTAATTTTTTATTTTCCATTTGCCTTTTTTGGAGGTAACAACCAATAACATGTTTCACATCAACTATTGATAACGGATAGTCAATAACGTGACGCCACAGCGAGTTAGGCTTTCAGACCATTTCTGACAAAATTTTTTTAAAAAAGACATGGGGTACAACCAGGGCTGACACTAAGATTTCAAGTGGCTGGGTATGTGCAGTTAGAAGGTGAGGAATTAAACAGATGGGAAGTTACTTGTTTCTATTTTCTTTTTGTTTGCTGTGAAAGTAGCCGGGGATCATGCTTATAAAAGCCAGGGGAAAGACATTGCCCTCGGCCCAGACTCCACTCTGGCCCAGACCCAGGCCCTAACATCCAACTGTCATATATATCATGGTGATTTCTTGCTGCGTTTATCTATTTAGTTCAGGGATGAAGGAACTTAATTTTCAGATTCCGAATTAGCTTTTTTAGGAGCAAAAATACCTCGCACAATGCGTTGTCTTTAAAATATATCCTGGAAAAAAAGAAAACAAGAAAAGATTTTTTTGTAAAAAAAAATTGCTCTAAAAAGTATTTCAGTTACTTACCCAGCACTTCCTTAAATAAATACGGTTTGTTTAATTTAAATTTAAGAGAAGCGTTTAGGAATCAGAGATGTTTTACCAAGGTCGGTTGTTTATAGAAAGAAAAGTTAAAAAATTTCGATCTTACAAAACAAAACAAACGCAAACAAATAATATTTGTTTGCTTTTGTTTTGTAAAAAAACGAAAACACAACAAGCAGCTCAGTAAGGAAAGGGAAATGATCTCACATTTTTCGTTTTGTTTATTTTTTTAATTAAGAAAAAGACGCACTGCATATGAGAAAATTATTTTCAGGTGCGAAAACACGAAAGTTCTTGTATTCCAGCCGCGTCCGGAGTTTGTTTTAATTTTTTTCGTGAACAAAACCACGAAGCCAGCAAAATGTAAATTATGTTTTGCACTTAAAAGATGTAATGACGAGACTCACTTAGCGACATAAGATAATTGTCATAATAAAGACGAAAAAACAAAGGAAAGTAACAGCTGTTTTTGCCAGCGAAAACAAATTGACATCAATAAAATAATCCCTTTGAGCGTGGTATGGTGTGTTTGTGCGTGGATTAGCTGTGTGGACAAACAAATAATTTCTCGATAACTAAAGGAGTTATAAAGATAACATATAGTGTTTGTGAATTAACGCCTAAACGCTGTCAAGCAAGATTTAATAACTACTTTTGCTAAGTAGCCCTGTGGCCTTTCGCGTCAGGGCACGTAGAAATTCTTCTATTAACATGCAAAATATACGGGAGAGTTCAGTTAAATATACACACCGAGGTTATTTATCTTTAACAGAGTTCTGAAGACAACGCTTGTAAATATGAAGCGATAAACATTAACAGAAGATTGAATTTGTGTACATTGTCCGTCTGCGATGGAATATCTTCGTTTACGTTAGTTCTCAAGGTAAACTAATTTGTTGTTTTAAAATTCTGCTGTCCGTGTCGTTCGTCGGTGTTAAAAGACCTCATTGGAAGAAATGGATGGTCGATATTTTCAAGGCGAAGAAATGAATTTGTCCAGAGCGGATATCGACGTTATGTTGCCCGCTCTCGAGAACTCAACTAAGAAAAAATTCAACAATTCTTTTTCTGCGGAACAGAGAAAGTATGAGAATTTGGAAAGGCAAATTCAACGCGAACGTAAGGATGTAAGCCAGCGACTAATGTTGGAGAGAAAGGATTTCATGCGTAGTAATCTAATTTTAAAGGAACGAATGAAACTCTCTTCGAGAAGAACTTCTACAAAAACAGAAAGACACGTTGAAAAACCCGTCGTGGAAGAGAAAGGGCACCCTGCTGAAAAGCGGCAAAAACAGTCGACCGTTTATGCGGAGGAGAAAACTCAATTACCTCGTTCGCCATATTATTTTCCACCTCTATACAAAAACGTCGAGAAGGGCTTGAGAGAAATACACACAAGTCAAGCACAGATGGACTTGGCAAAAAAAGAACCTGTAAACACTGAGACTATTAAAAACTGCAGATATTTGCGGTTAAGCTCGGCGCAGCAGCGGCAATTACAAAGCAACAATTCTGTCCTCGAATCTGATGCTGAGGAGAGTTTACCGGCTGTTGACGGCTTCTTTAATGACGATCGTCCTTGTTGAAATACAAACATCTCTATTCACGATTAATTGCATAAGCTCTGAACCTATCTGTTGGTTTGATAAGATAAACGTTCGAGTCCGGCCTCGGGAAATATTTTTAATTAATAGACTGAAGTCGCCAATATTCACTGATATACAAAAAGAAAATGGAGCATCAGCTGTTTGCAGTGGTTGACATGTATCAATTAATTTTTAACATTAAACGTTCCTATTAACCTAAGCTGGGGTATTTTTTAGACCTTTTACTATGAAATTCAAGAAAAAAGTGAAAAATTTCTTTTCGTAATATTCTGAAAAAAGCAACTAGTACCATTCAAAGTGCTGCTCTTGTTGGATTGTTAGATTTTATATATTTAGTAAAATCAGAAATTCATAAGGGATTGTTCAACCCCTTATAAGTTTCTGGTAGAATCCAACCAGTGGTCTATTATCAATGCTGCGTTCTGATTGGTTGAGCTTCTGCTAGGCTATATGTTATAGCCCACTGGAAGCGAAAAGTGCTGGCTTCGAAAACCAAAACAATGGCGCCTGAATCGCGCTTTGCTAGCTACAGTTGTTTTGTCTCGATATTTTTGACCAAGTAGTTTGATTTTACTAAAACAATTATTCCTCTCGCCGTCATGGCCTCTTGAGTCAATAGCCCGTTTGGCCTTCGGCCTCATGGCCTATTGACTCATAGCCCATTCGGGCTCTAGGGATAATTGTTAAATATGTATAGGCATGTAGACATTGCAGGGTGCAAAGACAGTCACTTTTACCGCCTGCCATTCAGGCAAGCTGAAGCTAACATTTACTGGCCCAAACATCATTTCAACTAGCCCCAAAACGTTTTGATGAGCAGATTGATTTCATAATTCTTCGGTAATTTGGCCGGGTCAAAAAACTTCACTTGCCCGTCGGGCAAGTTGATGACAGAATTCACTAGCCCGATAGCAAAATCCACTAGCCCCGGGCTATCAGACACTACCTTCTTTGCACTCTACATTGACGCGTGCTGCTTTGAGCACGCGCTACAATAATAAAATTTTAATGAGTTAACTGCTACATTGATCGCTTTGATAATGTCATAAAACAATTAGTTCATACTTCAACTGGGCGTATGTCGAGATACTGAGCACTTGGGACGTTTGGAGAGCACTCAAGAAGCTAGAGTTGCTCTGTGCTGCGCCTCGAGCAACTCTTAAGGTGGTTTTCCATTGTCGCGTACTTTTTCCCTACCTACACACGTAAATTTTACGCGCGTAAATGAAATGTATGGAAGGTCACGCGTACACGTTAAAGTTGAACGTCGTGTAAATTTTACGCGCGTAAATATAATGTATGGAAGGTCACGCCTACACGTTAAAGTTGAACGTCGCGTAACTTTTAAGTTTACGCGTGCCCTTCCATACATTGCGTCTATTATATTTACGTGTGTACGCACGGAAAAATACGCGACAGCTGAAATCCACTCTAACGCCTCTTTCGTACTCTCCAAACTTCCCGCGTGCTCAATATCTCAACATACGCACGCTGAAGTATGAAATTTTTGTACTTTTGTTTTTCACTTCGTATTTGTCGTTTTTGCATTTTCAAGTTATTTTAAATTTCTCTTCAAGTTCATCTATAAAATTGCTGTGAGTCTGCAAAGTGTTAGTGATTAAGCATATTTTTTTTCGTCCAAAAATATATTACTGGCCCACTTGCTTTTAACCATAGGAAAGAACTCAGATGTCTATAAATGAACCTAAACAACAACTGGCTTGTTTAAAATGAGAATCTAATGAGCAGTCTATTTCTGATCTGAATTTCTGATCCGCTAAAATAATTAGGATTTGCTATTGTTTTTAACATGCCGTGGCATGGTTGATTGCGAAATTATTTTGCTATACACTGGTCATTGTTGATAAAATTTCAACAGGAACTGAAGTATAAGCTGTTGTAATGCAGCCAATAATTGCTATTTACATGTAAGACGTTGTCAATCTGGTTGTATTTTACTTTAAAGGAACTAGGTACACTTTTCATGTAATTCAATATAAATGTTGTGCCGTTTTTTGCATCATTTTAGTTCGAGTTCTTTTGTTAATTTGTCCGAGGGGTGTGAAGTTGTTGAGTTGCTCTTGCGCAGTTTGTATTTAAACTGGCATTTTAAAAAACGATATGGAAAATGAATATAGGCTCTCACAGAGCAGCTGTTGGTAATCGAGCCTAGAATGAATATTGTAATTCGTAAACATTTTCATTAACAAATTTGTCTCAGAGAAACATTAATAAGAGATATTAACAGGATTTTCAAAGCCGGACTTTCTCGGTTAGTGTTTATGGGTTATTTGTTCTTAGTGACTTCCATTCTTTAATTCTAATCATTTTTAATTTCCTTCCTTTAGTATGAACAAATTACCTCAGCATGCAGATTACGGAAATATGTTTAAGTCGCTTACAGGGTTTTTTGCTATCTGGTTTACTAAATTGACTTAGCTCTAAATGAAATAGTTTTTATTTATCAAATCATATCGACAAAACGGACGGGCGGAAGAGCGAACTAAACAGGGAAGCAAACAAAACAGTTCCTATTGCGAATTTCGAATCAGATTTAATTTAACGATAAATGTTTTTTAACAGAGTATTTTCGTTTACAATATTTCATTATTAATGAAGTCTATTTACAGGATAAACCTTAAACATCTTTCTGTACAAAACAGAAGGGATTAATTCTCTTGTTTGTGGTCGCCGATGTATACAAATAATTGGATAAAAATATTAAATTAAATGAAATTATAAGGCAGCTATAAAACACTTTGGCAGCTGGTTTTCCTGCGTCGTATTTAATTTCCGACGTGCTCGCGTCTCAAGGTCTTTTAATCCACCGTAAAACACACTATTAAAACGAGGTAAGACCGAAATGTTTTATCTGTACAGGCTATAATCTTTTTGTGATTTATATTTCGTCGGTATCGTAATTAGATTCAATGAAATTATTTCTCTAGAACCTCGATAACTCGAACTCGGATGACTCGCATTCCCCGCTAACTCGAACTGTCTTTCGTTTCTATTCAGAGTTCGAGTTACCGGGGTTCTATTGTGGTGACGGTAGTTGACGTGTTCACTCAGCGCTGAAATCCTATCTCCTTATAACACAACCGTCTCCCCTACTCAGCTGAAACTGAATACAACATCTCGTAGCCGCTCATCGAATATCACTTTTTTATCTCAACGTAGTTTCTAGTACTGAATTTCTTCCAGTTAAGTCTCAACTCTAATGAATATTCCTGGTGGAGTCTTTAATGTAATCATTGAGAATACAGTAAAACCGCGGTAACTCGAACTCTGAAGCGAAACGAAAAACAGTTCGAGTTAGCTGGGAATTCGAGGTATCGGGGTAAATTTCAGTGAAATTTTGAACAAGGGAAAGAAAATTTAGTTCGAGTTAGCGGGGAATTCGAGTTATCCGAGTTCGAGTTATCGAGGCTACTGTAGTATAAAAGCTACTCATTCAGGTTATCCACCAATAGTTTTATTTATATTGTACCCGTTGACCACATTTATTTGCACGGCCCGAACAAACACGCAAAGGTTTTCACTAATTATACGAAATTATTTTCATTAATTATTTTCACTAATTATACGAAATCAAAGCAAATTACACTTTCGTTAACGATGATCCACTTGCTTCCATCTCGATAATCATGCATTTTATCGCCAAATTATATGTTCCGCTTTTTTCTCTTTTCTGTTTTAGTCGAAAACAGGCAGGAATTTTTTGTTTTTAATAGCGAAATCAAGGTAAAGTAAGTTTTCGCGGGAGCTAAATTCGTGATCCCTTAAAGTCGCAAGAGTGATCAACATTAAATTTCTCCAAACATATGGATACGCAATCAAGTAGAAAGGTTATGAGAATTAGAAAATGATCTTCAAGAGAAAAATCTCTTGATCTTTTAATTGATTTTCTCAACTTATTTTTCAAGGAAATGTATGGAGATGATTGTGAAGAATTTGAATGTGGATATTGGGATTAAACTTAACGATAATCATCTTCCATCATAATATTCTTGCACTTTGTCACCAAATTACGACGTTCTGCCTTGCTCTGTTTTCTGTTTTTAACGAGTTTTGTTGCATTTGACATTGTAGCGTGTTATAAAAATGGAATATGGGCAGGCAATAGTTTCATTTAACACTGATCAGAATCTAAATTCTCCCGATAATATCTCTGCCTCTTTACTTCAAGGTCATCACAGTAAAAACAGTGATAATCGAAAATAATATACGCTCAGTGATCAAACGATATCTCCTCATCAGTGCCATGTCAATTGTATGAAAAAAGTATGGAGAATTTGCATGCTAGTACCAAGTCTCAGATGTGAGTCAACGCTCCTTGCTATTTATAACGTGATGATGTGTGCTTTCACGTTCACGAAAGACGTGACAAGGAAGTTTGCTTTATCATCATTCTCCAATATGTTAGCAATCGTGTGAAGATCTCTTAGGTTTGACATGACTGAACGTGATCATTAAGCTCTATTTCGAATCACGTGTACGGGCAAATGGAAATCTCGTCAGATTCATATTGATAATTTAGTAATTACAATATAAGCGGGAAATTACTTTGCAGAATACTAAATTCAGTTCTTATAGATGGACTACGTGACATGAAACTTCCTATTTTCACGGTGTGAATCCGATATGATAAATAGTAAATGATCATAAGCGAAAACTTGGTCACGTTCTACAGATTAAAGTTGGTCCTTTCCCTGTAACCTGATTTTGAATCATTCTATTGTTAGCGTGAAATTTTACGGTTATCCGAGAGGATAATACTCTTCGTCCCTCATGGTGTAGGCTGTTAAATGTCTTGATTGTTAAACAAATTCTCCTCGTAAGTACCATAGGAAATATAGGGAAAACGTTGATGAGAATCAGCATATTGATCTGGGGGACGGGGATACGGTTTAATCCTTTAAGCCCCAATAGAGACCTTTAGATTCCAGGACGAGTACGACTACGAGTACGAGATTTTCTCAATACTAAGTAGTGTACGCGCGTGAACCAGCGTCATTTTGGCGGGAAAACGTGGTAGCCGTCGTCATTCTACTACGAGTTTTCGCGCGAATGTCGTGGTGGCGAAAACAAGATATCAAATGTTAGAAGTTTTATTATTTTGCGATCGGGAGAGCGCGTATAACCTCCTTAACTAAAGATAACAATGCTAACTTTTCTAGTGAAAACTGGTAAAATAAAGCTTTCCGTTGAGTCTATATTTTGAGAATACGCGAAAAAACTTTAAGTCAAATCTCGTACTCGTAGCCGTCCTCGTCCTCGAATCTAAAGGTCTCCAATATCCACATACAAATTCTCCTGACTGATCTTCATACGTTTCCTTAAGAATTAGTTGAGAGAACTTGTTCCAGGATCAAAGCTTTTTCTCTTTGGTGATCAGTTTATTGATCCGTTTTCTCTTAATTGTGTAGGATTTAAAGGGCTTAAGATGGTAAACATTTCTTCACAGTTTTGGCTTAAATTTTTTAGTTATTTTCAAAACTTACTTAGAAGTATTATTACTGCATTTCCAATTATATCAAATGAGGAACGGCAAGATTTCCGTCTCTGTTGTATAAGTGTTCCTTAATCTGAATGTTCCACCGCTCGCAATTGTTACCTTGGAAACAAAACCCTTTTAGCTTTTTAGCGTCAAATTAAATGAGAATGAAATATAGCAAGTTAATAGTTTCTACTTAGTCTCTATATCAACTGTCACGTTTGATAAACATTGTATTAGTATATCACATTAGAGCATTTGTTATCTTCTTTGTGGGTTGGGATTAACCAATAAGCAATGTTCTGACTTAAAAGGTATATTTTATACATTTTGATAATTTAATTTTCCATGCCATGGCCAGTCAATAAATAATGAAATCTCCTTTGGTCTTTTGTGACAAAATTTAGCAACACGTAAGCGTGTTATTCTTTTGGTTTTTGATTTGTATTTTACCTTACCTGATTGAATTTCTCCGATCTTCACGAATTTTATGAAGATTTGAAAGTAATGTTTGTTTTTTGAATATTAAATCTGTAACCCGCCTACCGAGTCTAATTTTGAGCAAGTGCTTTTATACAACAATAATTTTTCGTAAACAGCTGTCTTCTTTTTCCGTTGACGAACGAGGAGCATACAAATATATACACCAAGAACAAAGTTAAGGTAAATGTTTTTATGCTGCACTATAGTTAGTATGTATTTTTGAAGTTGCTAACCTGCGTTTACCTTTTAAGAAATCTTTGATGTACTTAATCCAGTCGATGGTGTCTTTTTGCATTGATAAACCTTATTTGTTATTGTATCGTTGCATAGATAACCTTTTTGTTTAATTTGAATATAAAATTATAACACCGTAAGTCAAAGCTTTTAAATTTCGTGGACAACAGTTCGAAATTATTTTTTTTTCTGAAATCTTATTCTTGTACTCTCGCTTGCTGCGTTTGGGTTAAGTTACCCAAATTTCAACTCGCATTGTCATCTGTCGCATCGAGTTTAAATGCTACTCTTTCCCAGTTACCGATTTCCGCGTCTGTCATTATATCGCAACCTCAGTGCCACAGAAGATTCAACCTCGCAATATTTACCGTGCAATAAAAAACTTTCTTTACAACGCAGGTTTAAAACGTCAGCGAGATGAATTCACTACTCGACCAAGATGAAGACGATGAAGTACGGCTGCAAGAAGCTGAAGAAGCCGTGCGTATTGTGAGACGATTTAACACCGCGAGAGACAAGGACGAACGCCAGAAAAAGATCATCGAGTTATGCACAGACATTGCGGGAATTCTCGACGCAAAAAGGAGGTAAGGCCGTTATATTTGACGGTATTTTGTTTTGTCAACTCTTCTGGGGTAGAAATTTGATTTTTATTTTAGCTTAATGCCTTTGTTTTTAAGGTACCACCAGAATCGATTATAAAGGCTTGTAATGTAACTCTACTTTGTGATTTTATGGACGAAATCCTATGGTGCGACCAAATGAAACCTCTTTAACAGAACTTTTATACAGCAATACTTTTTTTCTTACTTTACAATATGAGAAGATAGGATTTACTAAGGTGTTTTTATCAATTTTTATTGTACGCACTCTTGAACGTGCATCTGTTGAGTTGTAACGCTAGAAGAAAGCAGGACAGACTAATCGAATATTGTCCATTTAGAGTTGTTTGCTGAATCATTCGTTTGAATAAAGCTACTGTGACAGACATAGTATCTCCTTGAATACATTAGTCAGTCAACAGTTTGTCAAGTATTTATTTGCACTAAAGCGGGAAGACACTTTCAACAAATGTACCAACTAAAAAAAAGAAGACATAAGTGTCGCTGGATTTCGAGTGCAGTTGTTATTGGACTCTTTCGTCTTAGAATAAACAGTTGGTTTTGAAACAAGTGATAGTAACTCTACACGCTTTTGCCACGGTTGATAAAGGAGTGATTTAAAATTTTCGACGCGATTTATTGCACGTTGATTTTCGTATCCTGTCCTCTTTTGATATGTACTCCTCTTTTCTCAAGTTGCTAAAAGTTGAAAAACTGCTGGAAATACAGAATAATAAAACGCGCGCTTAAAAGCAAGTAAGTGTCTATTTGTGGCGGGAAATTCAGAAGGAGAAAGTGGTTCTCATTGGTTGACTTATGTTCGTGTTTGCTGTTGCTGTCCGCTTATTGGCTAATTTTGTTAAGTAGTTACTTAGTAAATTAAATACGCCTTCAATAACCAATATTTAAACTGTTACTTATTGCGATGCAAATTAGATGGGGGTGGGACTTTCTAATATGTTCATCAAAACGACAAACTGGTTTTTTAAACAGTTCCTTAAGATAGGATCACAAAGGCACAAAATTTATTGTTTTCTTCAGATGTCGCGTGGTGAAATTTTTTTTATTCAAGTTCCCGCTGAATTCCAGTCTCACCCTAGTTGTAATTGATTTTGTGCAGTTTTATTTTATACTTCGTATACAATGATTATCACTTAGGTTGTTGTATTCTTTATAAATTGATCAGTTTTATAGACGAGGCAAAAAATTCAAAGCCGTGTTCATTTCTTGCGTTAGCCGATTAGCACGCTACGTGATTTTACGTTATTCGGTAACGTACGTAACACATCATCAGCATCATCACGATAAACGCGTGCTACCAACAATTTTTCCAAAAAATCTTATTCCATGATTTAGCCTAACCCTAACCCTAACCCTAACCCTAACCCCACTTCCATGAAGTTTTTCTGCAAAAAAGTAATTTATTTTGTAAGAGAAGCGAAATGCGGCAGCACTTGGGCAGCGAAATGAACGATTGCTTGTTTTAAACAGGGTCAGGGTTTGAAAGCCTTGGCGACAATAGGCCTTTGGCTTTAGTTGATCACGTGATCAATTTTCGGTAAACACGAAAACAGTTCGCTTTTGAAAAATTTTGTTAGCACAAGCTGAAAGAGCACATAAAAATTAGGTTACCTGTAAATTTTCAGCCGTATCACTCAAAATTAGCGAATATCATCCCTGGGGATTAATTAAAGATGTGCAAATGAGTATATATAATAAGAAACACTGGCACGCATTGTCCCATTTACTTAACTTTGTCCGACACGAAGGCGCTTGGCGACCCACTCACCCTCCCCAGCGAGTAAGTCGGACCAAGTCGGGTTCCAGATTACTAAGGGCCTGTTTACATGGAGGTGGGGGACCCCAGGTAAGTGAGGTAACCCGCTTAGGTGGGGTAACCCGTTTGTCCATATAATCTCTCATTTTAATTTGATCGCGTTTACATGATAGGTGGGGTGAGCCGCCATATTTTACCTCACCTACCTGGGGTCCCCCACCTTCATGTAAATAGGCCCTTAACTCATGTATTCAATTCAGTCTGTCTTGGGCTTGTCCCAGGTCGGATTGACTCCCCATACCTTATTCATTATAATGTAATGAATAACAATACCCAGGGATGAATATTATACTATTTTTCAAAGAGAATTTGTTTAATAATGTTAAAAAATTTTTGCAAATACAAAACAATAAAACGCGCGCTTTAAGAACAATAGTCTTTTTGTGGCGGGAAATTCAGAAGGAGAAAGTGGTTCTCATTGGCGGACTTATGGTCGTGTTTGCTGTTGTTGCCCTTTGATTGGCTAATTTTGTTAAGTAGTTACTTAGTAAATGAAATACGCCTTCAATAACCAATATTTAAACTGTTACTAATTGCGATGCAATTTAGATGGGGGTGGGGGCTTTCTAATATGTCCATCAAAACGACAAACTAGTTTTTTAAACAGTTCCTTAAGATTGGATGATAAAAATTTTTTATTTTCCGAAGTTATCGCCTAGCGAAATTTTTACTTATTCAAGTTCCCACTGAATTCTAGTTTCACCCTAGCTGTAATCGATTTTGTGCAGTTTTATTTTATACTTCGTATACAATAATTATCACTTAAGTTGTCGTATTCTTTATAAATTGATCAGTTTTATAGACGAGCCAAAAAATTCAAAGTCGTTTTCTTCTCTTGCGGTAGCCGATTAACACGCTACGTGATTATAGGTTATTCGAAAATGCACAGTCGAAAATCTTTGGAAATGTTGTTGTTCTAGCCAACAGGTGCTTTGCGAATGCGCGTGCGCTAGTGGAGCTATCACTTATTTGATAGACAGCTGTGATCGATGTAAACATGAAGCCGTTTTCATTCAAATGAACTCTAAGTGGAAGAGATTGTGATGGGAATTCGACCACTGGCGCTAAGCGGTTGCCACAGAAAAGGCAGGCTTTGTTTATAAAGCTCTTGCGCACTGCTTGAAGACGAAAAACGTTTCCTTGGATCTTGGTGGCTAGCAACCGAGAATTCATCGCTAAATCAAGACCGCTACCTCAATCACTTTAGGCTTGCCAAAAGCGGCTAGTTCAGCTTTTGGTAAGAATTTATATTTGGCTATTTTTTTTTTCTTGCTTCTCATTTGTTATTTTCAGCAGGGTTTCATTCAGGTGTATTCAGGTGATCTTTTGCTTTTACAAAAAGCCTTGATCTTGTGCTCTAATTTTCGACTCAAAAACATATAAATTTCGCTACCCTCCTTCTCTTTTATTTCATATCAGTTCGTGTTTTTTCTTCAGTTATTTTATACTAGTACAATTCGTGCGATTATCAAATCACCCTGGGGAAAATTTGTAATTGTTTTCCCGTAAATAATACGTCTTCATCAAATTTGAGGCAATAAACTGCTTCCGCTTATACTGAAAATTATGTGATAAAAATGGTATCGAAACGAATAATTCTGAGCCGAGTTTACCAAACCAAGGTACAATTTTTTCAGGGTCTTCTCGTTTTATTTTATGAGGACCAATATTACTTAAAACATGCAGGTCATGATAATTAAAAATTTAATTTCTAGTTTATGAATTTTTCATTTTTCAAATTTCCTTAGAAGCGAATTTTTCGTTTAAATTTCATCTTTCTTTCCTTCTTTAATAGCACAGTATTTGCAAAACTGTCTTATTTTTTTTTCATTCAAAATTCTGGGTGAAACTCTTCATCCGCACACGATGTTGCCAGGTTATTACTTATTTATCGTTCATCTGTAAATTTTTATGTTATTGTTCGGAAAGAGGAAGTTCCTGTAAATTCAAAAAAGCGGAATTTAACTGCGTTTCTTCGAAAATGGCGTATTGCTGTCTCTTAATGTTGAACCCTTTAAGCCCTTTAGAAGAGTGATCAGCATCAAATTTCTCGTTGTAATATCACTGCTTTATAAAACAGAGTGTTCATGAGAATTGAGGACATGATCACACAAGATGAATCTTATTGATACTCCCCACTACTTCTATTGAAAACGTATAGGGATAATAAATGAGAATTTGAATTTTGATGTTAGGGTTTGAAGGGTTAATAACTGCTTTCAATCCGCTTAGAAAGGGTCTGGTTTTGCGCGAAAATAATAAAAAAGCCAAGGATTATTTTCTTAAAAAAATGGAAAAAAAAAACCTAAAACGTGTTTAACAGATTTTCAGATAGTTATGAAACGTTGTTTTTTGGAATTTTTAATTATGAACTATTAGAGTTTTGACGGTATTTTAAACCACTCTTGATAAACCAACGTTTACAGGGTAACACGATGATGCGCGTGTTTGAGATTATAACACGCAAAAATTAAATACCTATTTGATTTGTTTATAATGGAGTGTCTCAAAGACTAAGGGCCCGTTTACATGGAGGTGGGGGACCCCAGGTAGGTGAGGTAACCCGCTTAGGTGGGGTAACCCGCCTGTCCATATAATCTCTCATTTCAATTTGATCACGTTTACATGATAGGTGGGGTGACCCGCCGCATGTTACCCCACCTATCTGGGGTCTCCCACCTCCATATAAACAGGCCCTAAAGTACTGTGTTTTTGCTTGCCTAGTCCCTAGGGATCTATGCGTTTCGGGACACGTGGTTCGAGCGCCAGGGTTCGTCCCGGACACGTCACCGAAATGCATTGACCGAGAAGACCTGGGAAGACACCGTACAGGGACTAGGAAAAGTTTTAGTCAGTCACAGTAGACTCCAGTATAACACAAACCAATCAGATTATAAAACAAATGAAGTATCATGAGCCGACGCCCGGCGTGAAAAACGAGTGTACCGTGGCAACCGAACGTTGAAACTCCTTATCTCTCATTAACTGTTGCAGACTTGAAGATCTTGTTAAGAAACAAAGCGCCGAGCTCCAGGAACTTCGCCAACGAATCCATTCAGGCAACACCACCTCAACATCAGGAAGAGGCTCGTTGACTCCTGAGAGCTGTCAGGAATCCACCGCGCAAGTTTCTTCCGCTTCCTCCCCTGAACGGGCTACAGCGTTTTGTCACAGGGGTACTGATCCACTGTATGAATGGCCAGAAAGGCCGTCGACTTGTACCCGGTCTACTAGCCCGTTGTTTTTCTCCGTTTCAAGCATGAATTCACATGAGGAGTCGCACGAAAGTTTATTAGCCAACCAGGAATTGGCAGAAAAGGACAATGATACTTTGAAAGATGACGTGGTGAGAGAGACGACTACTGTAAATTGCCGTTTAGGCTTATACATCCTCGTAAGGGACTTTAAGAGGGCCTATAAACGGGGAGTCTTATATCCGAGGGGACTTATAACCGGGATAAAAAAGCACCTCGCAACAAGCTATTTCAGTGCTGATCAAAATACGTTCTGCATTTACTGGTTTTAATTTAAGCTTCAAAACGTCATAATAAGTCGAACTCAGTTGGGGGCTCGTCATTGGAGCAAAAGGGGGGACTTATATCCGGGATGTCCAGTGGCGGATCCAGGGGGGGTTCCGGGGGGTCCGGACCCCCCTATCAGACCTGACGCTTGTTTGAGACTGAAATTCTTACATCGACATGATCGTATATCACTTTTAACTGGCTGATTTTTTTAATGAAACACGCGTTGCATTTTGCCACTAAACTAAATTCCAGGGATATTCAAAACTGTAATTGTTTTTGGGTACCCTCTTATGATCTGTTCGCCTTTGCTCGCAAAGCAGTATTTTCCGCGGGCAACGGCGACCGGCGTTCACAGATTGAGAAACACGTGGCCGTCTCTGTGAGAAATAATTTGCCACTAAAAAGTTCAACGGTCCTTTCTGAACCAAAGTTTGGATCCCCCCCCCCCCAATCAAAAATTCCTGGATCCGCCCTTGGGGCTTATGATGGAATGTAGTTTTTCGTTTTCAGGTAGATGGGCGGGTCTATTACTGGGGGTGTGGGGTGAGCGACAGTTACGGTATTGAGGATTCTGAGAAACTGACTATTTACCCCTCTCCCTAAGCCAACATTTTGCCCTAAGTGAGTAGTAAGTGTTAACGTTGTCTTAAGGGAGGGGTAGGTGGGCAGTTTCCCAGAACCTAAATTGATCAACTTTTAAAGTGACGTATAGAAACACGGAACTGACCTTAAGAGTCACTGCTTTCAGTGAATGGATATTTGTAAATTATCCGTAGCCATACCGTAAAATTCCGAAAATAAGCCCCGTGGCTTATATTTTTCAAAGGCCCTTTTTGAGGGGCTTATCTACGGAGGGAAGTTTGTGTTTCAAAATCGATTTGGCTAGCCTTATAGTTGGAAAGAAATTTAACGTTTTCGCTTTGTTTTACTTTGTATTTCAGGGCAAGTGCAAACCCCCCCTGGGGGGGGGGGTTAACGGAGGGTTTTTTGCGTTACGAGTTTGGGGGGCTTATATTTGGAGGGGCTTATACATGGAGGGGCTTATTTTCGGAATTTTACGGTATCTGTAGACACGGGTAGATTGCCTCTTACCACGAAGAAACGGCTTGGCTATTGCATTGCATTACGGGGTTCATGCCTTATGCACATATTATGGCAGACATGGTCGGGTGCGAACATGTTCCCCTACCCTGTAGGCGGAACGGTGTATCTCATGGTTTCTGGAACTATTAAAATGACAGGGAACGAATTCTAACAAAATGAAAGAGCAGAGATGAAGGTTAACAGAAGCCCATAGAGTGTTTTCACATGACATCAGGGCGGCCATATTAGTGCTCTAAACCAATCCTGTGGGAATTGAACTCTTTTTTTCTGTAAACGGTTTTTTTTGTCCGAATAAATTTGCATGGATTTTGGCCTCGTGAGTGAAAACACTCTATAACAATTCGATATATTATCACCTTTTCAAGAAATACTTTTACCAAAATACATATATCATCAGTTTTATGCCTCGGCAATGTCAAAATGTCGGGCAGCAAGTTATTATAAACCTACTCTTGAAGTATAACGTTAGCAACATTCACTTCTTCACTTAAAGGATAAATCAGGAACGGAAGATGATAACCAATTAGATGAAGAAAACAACTTGGATGATGATAGGAACCAACGAAAAGCGAGATATGGTGGTGATGAATCGGAAGAAAACGAAGGCGATCGAACACAAACCGAACACAAGAAACACGACCGGGAAAATAGAAAAAGGTGATCCAAATTTATTCTCCCCACTCATGTATAATAGGAATTGTTGAATACCCTTAAAAACTTGAGATTCCCGCTTTGTAATGTTATTTCCACAGATGATCCATTGTGTTAGTTCACTTAAAGATATGTGATATTTGCTGATGATTATGATGTCAGATGACGTCCTTAGTTTTGCAGAACCACTAACTTGGTTAAAAAAATGTCGACGTTAACCATTCGATGTAAATTTTTACCGTAAAATAGTTGTGGCATTCATAGGTTTAACGTTTGTTTTTTTAGTGCATCACAGCAGAAAAGTTCCCGCACAAAGATCTCTTCGCAGACCGCTAGGACCGGCAGAAGGTCGGAAACAAGCTCTAAGAAGACAGATAGAAAGCGAGCCCCAGTGGTACGAGACTCCTCGCCAAGAAAGACCGCTGGGCAAAAACCGGCCCAAAAGTCATCACGAGAAAAAACGTATGAGACGCTTTGGAAAAATAACCAGTTAAACCTGTTTAACGGGAGGTAAGTAAATTCAAGCAGAGAAAAGTGTAAAGCTATTTGCAGCCATGTCTAAATCATCAACAAAAAAGAAAGATAGTCCTTGCATTAGAGTTATGTTGACTTTTCTCTGTCATATGTTATCGTTTCCTAAAATCATTTCTTTTTACATCTTAAGCGCAAAAGAGCGAAGGAACAATGCAAGGAATAAAGCAAAAGAAAAAACCGCTTCTGGGTAAGGTTCTTCTCTCAGTTGCATCATTATCAACGTAAGCCGTTCTTCAAGAAAACGTACTCGTATTTTCTTAACTTTCCTTTAATTTTCCTTTCCAGAAATAAATCCGAAGCGACGCGTCTAAGCGGCTCTAACAAGAATGCCAGTGACAGGCGTTTGAGTGACACGTCGATGAGTAGTTCAGAAAGCGAAAAAGACGAAGAACTGACAAGAAAGGTAAGACTGGAATGTTAAGAGGACACTGTCTTACCAAAATATTGTCATTTCGAAATGGAAGATTTGGTCCAAAGATTCAAAAAATCAATACTACGTTTTGTCCCTATGATTGATATCAGGCGCTGAGCGTGTACATTCTTCTTCTCACCGAAAAACTGACCAAAGCCGGCGTTTAGTGTAACTTACACTTCTGGAATGTTAAGCTTATTTGTTGTGTCTTGATAACATAGCAAATGTCGGTATTACCATGTTTTCTCCTTTTTGAAGGTTAACCTCGAGCTTACTTCAGAGTACTGGGAAATTCACAAACTAATCAGATTTTTGAAGGTGAGTGAGTGTAGAAATTGGCAGAGTTAAAATTGAACATACACTGAACAAACGTTGCAATTTATCATATTATACTAGACACATTTTCTTTATTTTAGTAACTTTCTGTTACCTCTTTTTGACTGTCTTCTCTTATTTAGCGTCTTGGCCACGTGCGATGCCGATGACATGCGTTTCTCACCATAGACACCTTTTCCCACGTTTTGCACCGGCGGCCAAATTTCTCGGCGTCAAATTTTTCAGCGACACATTTCCCGCGTTTGTTGTCACCAGCCGCCAATTTCCCCGCAATTTAGGCACCAGCGACACGTTTTCCCACGTTAAACATCAGCGAAAAGTTTTCCCACCTCTTTGCGCTAATAAATGAATCAACCCGTTGGTAATTTGCGTATCTTTAGTTTGGTTGGATTTTTTGAGTTTGTGAATTCATTCGAAGCTCTCCACAACGGCCACCTTTGGTGCAAAAAAAGTTTCCTTTGTAGAGAGGTGGTTGTCATAGCCTGCGCACACGAAAAAAACGGGAGCGCGCGAAGGAGACACGCACGACACGACAGGACACGACACCTCTCTCGTGTCTCCCTCGTGCGCGCCCGTTCTCTCTTTCGCCCACTACTTCCAAGCGCCTGCTACGCAGGCTATGGTTGTCAGTGAAAGTCCGACTTGGCTCAGTTGTTCGAACGCCAGTTAGGGCTAACTCAGGGTTAAATTTTAACCCAGGCTTCTTTTTCTTTTCTAACCTGTGAACCTCGCGATTTTTTCACCCTTTCCCCAAACAGAGAGTCTGTTCACAGGCTGTTTCTTTTCATCAAAAGCACTCTCTCGGATAATTTTCTATATTCTTTTTAGAGTATCCAATCATCAAATTATAGGCAAAGAGAATTAAATTGAATTTGTTTTTTAAGCTCTCATCTCTGAGTTCAAATTTCGCACTTACCCTGGGTTATCTTAACCCTGCTTCGAGCAACCCGGCCCAGCTGTAGGTTATCTAACGGCAGAATCATTTCCTAGGTTAGCAACCCTACCGCTACTGTCATCTGCCTTTGTGTTCTGCGGGATGTCGGCCTTGAGCTGGAGACGAATCAGTTGGCGATAATGGAGCTGGGAGGAATAAGCATTCTTCTTAATATTCTCAAGACGGATCATTGGCGCTGCGTAGTAAGTAGCGCAGTTACCTGTTCTTCGCGGGACGCCATGGGTTAATGTCGCGGTTCAAAGCATATGCCACATGTCGCGGGCAAAAAGCGCTTCCCAGGTCTTGGTAATAACCACAGTCAGTAGAGGGGACTAACTATATAATAACTAAAAGTTACCGAGTGCGGGCGACAACAGTCGACGGTCAAAACGCTCTTGCTCCAATGCTCCAACGTAAGTTTCAAGTGATAGATGGTCAAATGCACGTGATAAGATTACGAGTGATAGAAGGTCCAAAGTCCAAATGCGCGTGATCAGATTGCGTTCTGTGCATTACATTCATTCCTAGTGGAAGTCTAAGGAAATAGTGGCTTCATAAGCGCGCTCATGCGTAATAGCAACCTGGAGGTTAGGATTGCGGGCTCCTCTTGTCGCTTGCAACTAGACTATGAACAATCAATTCGAGTCGAGTTGGACTTGGAATGTGGGAAGGAGTGTCATGAGTATGACAAGTGCTTATGTTGTCGGTTACCAGTACCAAAACACCTTTTTTACTTCATTTTTTTTCTAGAACTACTTCTCGGGAACCGTGAGAATTTCTTGTATCGCGCCTGCAATCAACGACTTATGGGGAAATTTAGTTCTGTTTCCAGGGTTATCGGACATTACCCTAACCCAAGAAACGATCATTGTTGTGATCAATTTGTTTATATATATATATTTTTATAGGTTGCCTCTCTTAGAATCCTGAAGATTATAACGAAAACAAAGAGGATAAACATGGAAATTTATCGCCTGGGAGGTAGTTATATGATATTAAACGATATCATTTAGTATGGTGTAAAAAGGCTGAAGTAATTGCATGCAGTGAGGTAATTTCATTTCAAATATTTTGAGTGCAAGGACTAATTGGTGGTCGCATTAATTTGTTTAGTTGCGGCTTGTGAATTCTGTATGCGTAAGTAGTGCAAAGTCGCATATGTACAACGCGAGACTAACAATAAGCACTTTGAGTTAACACCGCAATTTTCACCTTAACTAGAATTCACTTGCCACCACTTGTGTCACCACGCCATAAAATGGGGATTATCCTTTGGGTGTTAATTCACGTTGCTTTTCTCTGGAAACCAGACCTTGTTATTTTTTTTCTCTCTTGTGTACAGGCATCCAGCAGCTAATAGATTGTCTTCAAAGCCACGTGAAAGAAATCCAAGCCCTCGCCGCCGAAACGCTTAGTCAAATTATCACATTTCGATTGGCTTATAATGCCGTTAGGCGAGGAGGAGGAATCAAGCGGTTGGTAAGAAAACGTCGTTATTGCCTTGGTTTTGTTCGTTTTTAGCCTTTTGATTGGTTAATATTTCTCACGCCACTGTGTCAACCAATCAGGATTCACCTCGGCTTTAAGCCAGTCGTGACTTGGTGACACACATTTTCCCGCCCTCGGCACCAGTTACATGGCTTTATGTACTCATTTTTCTGATTGGTTCATTAGATCAATTGTCTGTGCAATCAGCTTTAATACACTACAGAAAAAGTCGCTCTTACATAATTCACTTGTAATTCCACAGATAAATCATAACTGTTTCTAAGGAGTCACTGGTAATCACGCTAGTACACTTGCTGTTTAGTTACTTAGTTAAATGTTAGCTAAGTTTTGAAATCTCTTTATTTTTACGTCGTTAAACTTCTCTCAGGTTAACATCATTCAGCCTGGTAACAAACGACGCCATAAAAACCCTCCTAAAGGCGAAGACGACTTCAGGCTGACTCACCATACGTGTATGGCGTTATGGAGCTGTAGCAGATGCCGGAAAAACATCCAGGCTATCCGCGCTGCTGGCGCATTACCGATACTCGCTTCCTTATTGGTTAGTGGACAAGATGACGTCATTTTACCCGCGATGGGAATCATTCAAGAATGCGCGACCGAGGTACGTAAGGCATCAGCAAGTCTGGGCTGAATTGATGGGAGATCACTGCAGATTCAGGATCAATTTCCATTAAAAATTAACCCTGGGTTATAGTTAACCGGGCTTCTAGTCTCGTAGTGGCTCACAACCTCTTTGGCTTTTTCAAGTTTTTATTACAAAAAGCAACTTTGATAAAAATCTCTGAACAGTAGCCGGGAAAAGGATGTAAAAGGAAAATCGATGAGTAAAAAAAAAAACGGGCCGAATTTATTATTCGGGTATTTTTATCATGGTCCTGAAACATTATTTGCTGTCAACGACCGACATATCCAACAATGTGATTATCGCTGCAGAATCATCTTTTTGTCGACATCATGAAGTTTTTCGTTCCCTCAATGATTACTCCTTAGTTACGTGTTTTCGTACCTTTAAGTAATCTTATATATTAAGAGATAATTGAGTGTTATGGTCGGTATTTTTGGCAGCCTGTTTTTCGGGAGGATATCCGCAGGGAGGGGATAGTGGAGACAATTGTCAAGCACCTCAAGGGAGGAGATGTGTCTCTCAGAACACTTTGTGCGACTGCTCTGTTTAAGGTACGCGACAATATCCTTTATTTCAAAAACCTCGCTAAGTGTGAGACGTTCCTGAATGTGCTTAACTCAATCTTGATTAGTTTTTTCAATTTTACCAACTGTTTTGAGTAGGTCTGGTTTGCATTAAATTCAAAAAATAACATAGAGAGCTTACTTTTCCATTAATGAACTGCCAAACCTGTTTAACTTGTTGTTTTATTCGTTACACAGTGCGCTGAAGATGACGACACACGGGAGATTATTTCTCGTCATGGTGGACTGGAACTTCTCGTCCAGCTAATGGCGTCCAGGTCATCTGAAAAGCAGCTTCTCGCGGCTACGGTTGGAGCTATGTGGAAGTGTTCCTTGAACAAAAACAATGTTAAAAGGTAGAGGAACAACGACTCTGTGTTGTTACTGTAAGCGCCAGGAATGTTACGCCTTGAAAAGTGTTTTTAAAAAAAATTGTGTGTGCGCCTGTTTTGTAGCTATGTTAGTGTTCAAGCCTTTAGTGCAGTTTGGGTTCATTTGACGGTTATTGTTCGTGTATTTTTAGTTTTTTTTTCACGTATTGTATACTTTTAGGCGTTTTTGCGATTACAGTTGCCTTGTAATGGTCACAGTTTGTACCTAGAGACAGATGTACATCAAACTCTAGTTGTAGAGTTTTAAAAAGTATTTTCAAAACTCAGTTGTGTTTGCTTCGAACTCTAACAGACTCAGTCCACGATCTTACTGGAAAGCCGAGTAACATGGTAACTGACCCAACTTCTTTTTCTTATGGAGCTTAATTTTAAGGGACATTCTGAGTAATAAAGATTGCCTCTTTTGCATTTCAGGCTTGAACAGTTTGGCGCTGTGAAATCATTAATCTTGCTGTTAAAAACTCCAGATCAATCACATGAGGTACGTTAGGTCACCGGGGATAGAGCTAATTAAACATCATAATATTGATGGAGTATTTATGAAGCTTAGGTATTAGTTGAATAAAATGATTGAGGCAAAATCTGTTAGGCTTACAACCCTTGGGCTTCGCACTAGTTTGATTTAAGCTGCGATAAAGCAGGATTGATATTTAGATGTTCAATGCCATGCTTAGTGCGCATGTGTAGCGATCGCAGTAACAATTGCGGTGTTCCAGTCCCCTCTCGTTTCCTATGTGGCGAATGGCCAATGTCGTAATTGATTGAAAAGCTATAATCCCGGCGAACTCTTCGGGCGCTCCCGGACCTATTTGAAAGATTGTTTTTGATTAGCTGCGAAAACAATAGGCATTGTCACATAACAATGACCCTATCCCTGAAAACAATGGAGGTGCAGATTGAAAGGGACCAGTGAAATAAGAGGTTTGGAACGGTGCAGGTCTTCTGAACCCTTCGTGTGTTTGACGATACTCTTGTAATTTAAGGCTGATGATGGTTACCATTTTTCCAGGTTCTAGCCAACACCTTTGGTGCTTTACATGAGTTTGCACAGTACAGCAAGCGAACTCTCCTCTCCATCAGGGATGAGAAAGTTATTCCTGTTGTTGTTCGAGCGCTGACAATCACGGAAAATGCTCTTCTCATCAATGCCACTAGACTTTTAGCCGTCTGCGCTAAAGAACCAATATGCAGAAGGTTAGTTTTTAGATCAATATCCATGTTCTCCACACTGCTCTACATACATTCCACATGGTCTTGGCTAGGAGACTTTGAAAGTCGACCCAGTCTCTTTCTCGTTTTCAAAGTGACGAATTAGGATCCGTATTCTACACTCCAGAAACTTTGGGGAGACTGGAAAAGAGCTTTCAGCCCAAAGAGTTGTGGGGATCGTTTATTAACCAATATGAGCTAATAAGCTCTTAAGTCGTCAACCATTTAAAATTGACGCTGTTTACACAAGCGGGTGAACTTAGAAATTTTACAGTACGGAGAATGCCCTCAGTCTATTTGCAGTAAGTCGCCCTCTTGAAGGGACAGTTTCGTTGCAGATGACTCGTTTTTTTGTTACAGCTTGACCAGTTATATGCGGCTAACACCAAGTCGCCTGGAGATAGTGTGTATTTAGTTTTTTTATTTTTATTACTATTTTCTTTTATAGTTCGGTGCTGAGTACAGATGGATTAAGACTTCTTTGGTCTTTGTTGAAATTTCCCGAACCAGAGGTATGAAAAGGATTTTAAAGCATTCACTATTATCATCATTACCTGATCGACGTCATATCCAACGCCATTACTATAATCCATTATCATCATCATCATCATCATCATCATCATCATCATCATCATCATCATCATCATCATCGTCGTCGTCGTCGTCGTCGTCGTCGATGTCGTCATCATTATCGTCGTCATTATCGTCATCATCATCGTCATCATCGTCATCATCATCCCCGTCATCATTCGCGTTATTTATATCATTATTGTCGTAGTGATCATCATCATCACGGACATCATCACTATCATCATCACGTGATTATCATTAGTGCCTTGATTTAAGCATCATTTTTATGTACTATCACCATCATCATTTTCATTAATATCATGGCCATCGTCATCAATGTCACTAGCGATGACATCTTGGCTATTTTCATCCACACATTTATCTTTATTAGTGCTTTTATCTTCGTTCTAACACGTTATATTGTAGGTTGTCGCTGGAGCCGCTGAAGCCATTGGTGAGTGTGTTGTGGACGTAGAGGTAAGAAAAGTTTTTTCATGAAATTAAGTTAGTGAGTGCGTTTGCTTGTAATGTCCTATTGAACTCAAATAATAACTATGATGGTTAAAATTCATTCTGATTTTTTTTCGCGCCGCCGGACACTATCTAAGGGCCTGAAATAGGCTGAGACTTGTTGCTTTTAATTTATCCTTCCAGGAGTCTGCTGATGTGGTACGATCATTTGTTGGAGGTCTGGAACTGATTACCAGTCTTCTTCGGTCTGATAACAAGCAGGTCAGTCGACATCACCTGACCTTTTGTAAACAATGGAGTCTATCAGACTTTAGTAAAATCCAACTAATGGTCTATTATCGAGGCTGCGTTCTGATTGGTTGAGCTACTACTAGGCTATATGTTATAGCCCACTAGTAGCGAAAAGCGTCGGCTTTGAAAACCAAAACAATGGCGGCGGAATCTCGTTTTGCCAGCTAAAGTTGTTTTGTCTCGATATTTTTACCAACTAGTTGGATTTTACTAAAATAATTATTCCTCTCGCCCTCTTGGCCTCTGAGTCAGTAGCCTATTCGGCCGACTCAGAGCCCATTCGGGCTCGAGGAACAATTGTTAAATAAACTACTTATACAAGCATTGGAAACAGTTTATTGAAGCCTAGAGTGGGAGAACACTTCGCCAAAGGAACGAGGCCGAGCGGTTAAAGCGCTGGACTGGTAATTCGGAATCCCCGAGTTCAAGTCCCGCTCTGACCGCTAGCTGAATTTGTTTTCGGTAGTTTCCAGTTCAAATCCTCGACCACGCTTGTAAAATAGCCAACTGGTTTGTCTCCTACCAGTTGAGTGGGATTCTTAAAAATCTTATGTTCCATTATCCCTGAAAAGCCCCATAACGGGAGAGAATAATATTAAAGTATTATTATTATTATTATTATTATTATTATTAAGAAAATAATTAGAATCTTTATTACAAAACCTCAATTAAAATCCTATTTACAATCAACCTGCTTTTACAAAAAATCTAATTAATTCATCAAAACACTATTCATTTACAAATTCTAAAAAATGGAAGTAACTTAACCTTACATAAAAGAAGAGGAAATAGATATAATTAATAATAAAATTATTATTATTATTATTATTATTATTATTGTTGTTTTAAGTAACGGCTTGGAAATGAGTTTTCAAGCAGTTTGCTTGAGTGGTCCGAAACTGAGCACGGGAAAACTTTTTCACGGCTCTTCCAGTGGCTGCAACGGCAAGAATATCCATCGTAATATAATATACCTGCGTGCGAGAAATTCCGCCAGCTACTAGGTCAAACAAAATGTTTTTCGTAATGTTTTGTATACAGGTGCTGATATGTGCTAATAAAGCAATAACCAACATCGGCAAAGACAGAGAGAACCTCTCTATCCTGACTGACTATGAGGTGGTACCGCTGCTTATTGACCTGGTCAATACGGTAATACGACCGAATGAATTACCTCTTATCTGGCTTAACATTAGACATCACAATCTTATTCCTCGATCGTGTGCGGCTCATTACTGCGCATGTCACGATGGTATGCCGTGCCGTACCTTAAGCGTGCCCCATTGATAAGCTGCTGAAGGCTATTATATACTAACTGTTGAACATAAGTAGAATTACTTTAGTTCTAGACTTTCTAAAGAAGGAAGAAAACAAAGTCCATACTTGGCCAGTTTAATTTTATTTCTTTCAACGTACATTGTCATATTAATTCCTTCCTTTGGAGAGTTATTTGACATTGTCCTGAACCTTGAAAATGTATCTTAGCCTATTCTGCGAATTTTATGACAAAAGTAGTGTGCACCTTGAAAAACGTGCGGTGAAGGCTAGTTAGCTTATCTTTTCTTCAACAAGCAACTGAGTATCGGATCACCGCTTATCTTTTTATGTCGGTTTTTACTTTTTTCACCCCTACGTACCAATTTAGTTTTAATAGAAATGGTGTCCTTGTTGTAGAGATTTTTTGTAGCAAAGAGTGGGCATCGTAAGATTTTATGACAAGATAGCGTGGATCTTGAAAAATCTCTATTTTTTCTTATGCGTAGGAAGATGAAGAGCTAAAGCGATGGGTCGCGGAGGCAATTGCAACGTAAGCCAATCTTTCTTGTATTTATAAATAAGTTATGCAGTCGTTATATGCTCGTTTTCATCTTTTAAACGAAATATGTAACAACTCTAATTTAGGTGCAGTGGACTGGAAAAGAACATCAAGTCATTCTCACCAGTGGTCGTTCCCCTGGCGGAGAGCCTCAAACGTTCCTCTGACGTGGCCGTCAAACGAGCGGTCGCCTGGGCGCTAGAAAAACTATCACGTGACCAGTACAACTGTTACTTGATTCACCAGCATGATTCTCTGAAGGTAACGTGACTTGCAATCGCTAAGATCAACTTCGCCAAAGTAACTCTCACCATTGTTTAATCTTCTTTGCACAAATGAATATCTGCGGAACAAATTTCAGTGAAGATATGATCGTCGCAGTGGTAATTGCAATTAAAGCAATTGCAAATTAACCCGAAAAAAATTAGTGTAGTGTTACTAGTGAAGAGAATTCGTTTCATAATCAAAGTAGTCTACCTCAATGATATTTCCTTTATTCTTATGACCATCAAGTTTAATCAGTGGGATTATCAGGAGAAATTAGATGCTGATCACGAAAAGGTTTAAAGGGTGCGACTTTTGGCTAATAGAGTCAATGCGCATGCCCAGTAAGGCCGGAAGACAAAAAGGCTAGTCATGACGCCTAAGCCCCTTGTGGATAAGCACAACGCTGAGTCCGGAAACAGGAAGCTAAAATACGAAAAAAAAAGTTTGAGGTTAACTAGCTGTGACGTTAAACTTCTATAACGGGACGTAGTTTAAAAGAAATTGGACATGATGATTGCAACACAAAGCTGTTATACACTGTAGTTTAAGTGATTTTTTAAAATTTTTTTCTCTCTTTTTTCCAACAGACGTTATTGACATTAACAGGATCGACGGATGAGCGAGTCCAAGAGGCAGCGGCAGCCTGCATAAAAAACATGCGCGTAAACACAATGAACATGCTTTCAAGATAGAAACTCACAGAACTACCTTACAAGGGGACCCTGTCGATAGGTGCAAGAAAGGAACATTCTCCCTGTTACTTAGAGGAAAGTTAGATCTTTACCGAATGAACAGAAACAATTCTTTATTCACCATTTTCGCCGAGACCATAATGCGCTTTGTCTACCCCCCAAAAGTTTTTCATAACCATCCTCTTCGATTTCTCTTGAGGTGACTGTAATGTCCAGTAGAAATTAGAAACAGTGATAATGTTAAAGTTTGGAGGGGGCAAGATCATGCGCATTTGATCATTTGAAATATGTTAATTTGCGCAATATCAAGTTAAAAAATATTAAGATGCATTGAAATGGTGAACAGATGTTTTAATTAAGAAGCATGCGGACAATTACAATGCACTGGAATATTCTCAGTAAAATGCGTTACACAACATGTTTTGTATGTTTCCTCTTTTTACGCTTTTCCTCAGGTATCAAAAATTTTTCACCTTAAAAGAAAACTATGTCCGTCGATCTTGCAGTTATGACCGTTTAATCTTAAGCTGGTTAACGTATTACTTTCGATCTAGCACTATTGTCTCTATTGTCTATTGTAAATATTCAGCACCCTCTAGACAAAACTTGGACGTTTTTTGAGATTTCGAATTTTCCTGGCGGCTACTTTTGTCTCTGTCATCATCATCATCATCATCAGCTCGAGCTAGCTCAGCCATTCATGACCATATCATGCCACCCATCGCGATCCTGCAACAAAGCAGGGAAGTCGTTTGAAAGGCATCCCGTGTCTCTACAGAGTTGGTCGATGTTGGTGATTGCAGGGTGATTGTGTGCTGACAGAAAATGGACCATAACATGATGAGGAAAAAAAAACTAGATAACCGGGTCTTTACAATTTTCCAATATTTCGATTATTACTAACTGCCCCCTTGGATTTCTCTAAGCGATATAAATTCTCTCTGTTTCTCCATCTAGTTCTCGTTGACGCCATTCTAAATTACCTCTAAGCTAAAAAAAAACGTAAAATGAAGTTTGTTTAGTTTTGATAAAAGGGTCACGTGGACCATTCGATGTTTGGAAATCAAAATCTAGATAATAAAGAAACCTTTTTACACTGTTAAAAAAGAGAATTTTTCAGAGTCCCAAAAATCGCATTTTTTCAAGGGGTCAACTCATGCTTTTGGTCAAAAAATTTAACTTTTTTCTTTATTTGCTTCGGTCAAAATAAGACTAAAAATAATGTTCAATCACTTTTTTGACTACAAAAAAGAGAATAGACCTTTTAATGAGTTGAATAGCTTGCGCGTTCGACTACCCTTGTTTAAACCTGTTTTAAAAAACAACCTGATCTGTTGCAAGACAGGTTTTATGAGGGTGGTAAAAAGCGCAACATCGCTTTTCAACTTGTTATGCTGCAATGTTGCAAAACAAGTTGCACGTTGTTTGTTGCCCGTTTTACCGTACCTTAAGATTAAGGCGATATTTTCGCTGATGTTTACGTTTCTTATACAAATCCTATAAACTGCCGTGTTACACAATTATTTCCAGATGCATTTATTTTTAACATGTGCCCACATAGTGAGTTTGAGACGCCTATAAGTAGAAAGAAATTTTATCATTTAGAGACAGTTGACGTACATAATACTCGAGTCTTGTTCAAGGAGTGTCTTGATTGGCACGCATCAAGTAAGTTATGATGTCTTACATCGAAGGACGCGCTAGCCTGTTCCAGGCGTTTTTTCTTTACTTCGCACCGCTCTCCACTATCTGAACGCTTGGAACAGGCTAAGGACGCGCAAAATCCCCACTCGGGGAGTCGACAGCAATTTGCAGAAGCGGCACTCAACTCAAGTTGGCTGTTGTTAGCAAGGAGATCCGGCCCTGACTGCTAACAGGAGGGGATTACTACTGCACACCAAGAGGGCCTGGCGACTAATCACCGTTACGTTGCCTCGATCTCGTGCATGCACGTGCATCGTAGCTGAGCAGCCGCGCATGTGATTCATTTTATTTTCAAGTTTCTTGATTACAACGCATGGATCGTTCATTGACAGCGCTTGGCTTTTTTCAACTCTAAACGGTAAGAACTATACACGGAATATATTGCCCAACGTTTTGAAAGTATTTTGATGGATTTTGTGTGTCTTAAATATTTCGATAATGTAATTTGTTTTTAACAGATACTGGACGGTGACGGGAAATACAACTCCATGCGTGTTACCAACTGAGGTCAGTTATAAAATGTATGAGCTTTTCGTCACGACTATGGCCCTTATTATGCTTACCCTAGTGACATATAATGCTACCATATAGCCTTAATTAATCTACTGCAGAGCCTCGGATACGCATGTAAGACTGGAGGGAATCTTTGGGATAGTTTTTACCTTTGATTCAACGGTCTCCATGACACACTGCTCATGCTGGGAGTGACCGGCGCACTGACGGAATGATGGAACGGAATGGTGGAATACACGGAATATTCTAAAATACGGAAATTATATACTAAAACACGGAATTTACAGAATATTCTAAAACAAAACACGAAATATGCGGAATATTCTGAAAACCCAGGATAAGAGAAAAATTTCGACTCCCATAACTCGAACCCTCACTACTGACACGAACCTTATGCTAACTCAGGAGGGCGCTTATTTCTGTTTTGAGAAACAACCAAATGTTTAAACTTCCTGCCGACTTAAATTTCCCATGAAAAATTGCGGACAAATGTCTGCAAAATCTAAAGCAAGCGACCGGACAGATTGAGGCACTAGTGCGGCCCCCAATAATAATATTGTTGGTACAATCCTTTGCTGTGAAGCTTAAGTTTACAAATCTTTTTTTGTTTTCAGAACAGCCGTTTTATGAAAATCATCTGACATTAGATTCCTTCCTTCATAGTAAAGGTCTTAAGTGTACGGCTGTACGAAAATTGAATTTTTAACACGATTTCAAAACAAGAGTGTTTCCTTTGCCTCTGCTTTTTTGTCAGTCCAGTTCAAATCAAATACAGAATGTCCTGTAAATTCTGTGTTTAATAGTATCCCGTATATTCCGTGTTTTAGAATATTCCGTGTATTCAGTCATTGTGTTCGGTCATTCCATCAGTCAGCCATTCCACCGAATAGGGTCACCCCATGCTAGGTGAGTTCCATTTTCTTGCCAACAGGAGACGTAAGGAAATATCTATATTCTTATGTGTTCAAAAACAGATGAATCTACTACCTTGTCAAATACAGGAACTGTTAACCATCAAGGCAAGCAATGACAGAACATACGTTTTAAGAAATTCAGATTTTACATTATAAATGTGCCTTGCTTAAACACGGTTAAATTATTAGGGAAAGACATTTAACAATTAATTTCAAAATTCAGGGGAAAACAGTTTGAAACAAATTTTTTTTTTTTTTCGTTCGAATCGCACAAACTTCATCAGTGATGTAAAACAAGTTTCGGTTATGTTATGTACCAGTCAATTCCAAAACTTCCCATCACCCCCTGGGCATTTTCAAGACATTTTAAATGTTTTTTTAGTCAAATTCCCCAGTATGTTGGGAGGATACTTGGTCAAATGCCCCACCGGCTAGCACATCAGAAAGCGTCAAATCCTCCACCAAGTGACCATTTAATAATTTTCCCATGCATCAAACTGCTTATTCAAATGTAAACATCCTAATAAACACAGCTGAAATATCTTAAGTCTCAGAAAGCTGTGTTACAGTGGTTTGTTCATTAAAATTTTTCATTCCAGAAATCCTACATTTAACAGGCTTTTTAAAAGGCTCTCAAATGCTCCAACAAACATTGAATATTGGAGCAATGCGCTGCACATGCTGAACGCAGATAGAATTATGCAATCCTTTTGCTTGCAATGCTGACTAGAATTTTGACATAAAAGTCTAATGCCTGACTGGGCATTCCTTATTTTGGGTCAAATTATCCATTGTGTGGAGCAAAACTCCAGTCAAATGCCCAGGGAGGGAAGATGGGCAGTTTTGGAATTGCCTGGTAGATTATGTAAGAGAAAGGCTGGTATTTTATCCCAGGAGAGGATTGTAAATAAGATACTTTATAGGCCTTTCCTTTGGTCGAAATGAATTTTTTTTTAAATTCTGTTTATGTCACTTGGTTGAGTCCCACATTTCATGACCTGAACATATTTTCCAGCATTTAAAAAAAACTTTTGAGTTTTGAGAAAGTGTCCATACTTTTTATCTAGTTTTGTTAGTTAATGTGAGGATGGTTTATGAAGCAACTTGCAAACAGATGCAATTTTCAGGGACAGTGTTGCATGTTGTTAACTGAGGGGCTTGAAAATGAATGTGAGTTTGTTGGGGGGATCCTGAGGCATTCTTCCCCAGAAAATTTTGAAATATAGAGGCTCAGAAATCAACATTCTCCCTAAGATATGTCTTTAAAAACACTAAACCTGGATACTTCTAGGTACTTCTAGTGCTTACAGCAATATCCTGGAGTTTTTGTAAACTTGATACCTCTCAGCCTTCATATATCCTGCCCTTAGTACACTGGCCTGCGTGTTTATACAAGCTTTTATTCAAGGCTTACATTACAGATTCTTTCAAAGGCAGTCAAATAGCTAAATACAACTTAGAAAAAGAACCAGATCCGGAAAGTTAGCCATCGATCTGAGAATGGTGTAGAACGATACCACTAAATCACACACATGTCCTTTTCCATCTTGCCAATCTCTGGATAGTCACATTACAGGTAATCATACTTCATTTGTGGTAATCTCTGGTCAACTGGACCTTTTTCCTTTTTGGCTGAGGGGGGATGGGTGGGTGGATTTGTGTGCTCTTTGTTTTTGTTTTCTGTTATTCAGTTACTCAGTGAACCAAATGCAAATTATATGGCGGACCTTTAGGCCAACCCCAGGTCTACTCTAGTTGTGCAAAAGCCAGGCTAGTGAGGCCTCAAGAGTTTTGTTTTGACTGCTCATCTTAGCAATTGAGTCAATCGATATGGTTTGCTCCAAATTGTTGCGTGCCTGAGCGCCACCAAGAAGGAGATTTTACTCTAGCTGCAACTACCTTTACTTTCCCGAGATCTTTTCGCAAAGAAAGTTAACGATTCATGTGATTTGGTGTGGTAATAGAAAGCACTTTACAGCGAAAATGCAAGTGTGCTCTCTTCACTTACTTAAGAAGATAGGACTCATGGAAGTATTTGAATGAAAGAATTTTGGCAAGAGATAGTGCTGTTCCATGATGTTTGCTTGGTCTCTTACTTATCCAATGAAAGGTAAAGGTGGACATTCTCAGGAACGGGAGCATGTGCTGTCGACTTTAAGGTCTTTTAGATTTAACACCTGGAAACAGCGCTAGCTGCATTTAAATATACAATTAATGACGAGTGACAATGAAATAAAACATTAAAAATGACCTTTTAATCCTACAAGCCTGGCTTATGAAACCATGTAAGCACCGGAAAAAAGCAACATGTTTTAAGAACAGTCCTTTGATCAAAGTTCAGTGAAAAACTGACAGAGGAACAGTTGCAAACTAAGAAAGTAAGAAAAAGGAAAAAGGTTCTGGAAGGGATCAAGCGTGCAAGTATTCAAGTATTGTATTTGCCCTTCTGTGCAATCTATTTTAGCAACTTGTCAAAGGGTTTCAAGATGAACTAACAGCGGTTTTCTAAAAATTGCTACTTTCATTGCACTGCTCAAACTCTTGAACACAGGATCGTGAAGACTGTTTAAACATTCGGCCTCATTGTAAACATTTCATGCACAGCAGTGTTCATAAGAGCTCCAAGGTTTGATAAGTTGTAACAGCAGATTCACTCATTCTCGAGAATGTTTACCTTTCCTTGGTAAGAGAATGGACAAAGCGAGCTTGAAACAGACCCATCTGTCAGGAATTCTCCCGTTCAAGTAGTTTCGTGAATCTTCTCTTGTGAGGTGAAGTGAGCACACTTTTGTACTTTTAACTCCATTCTAGTAAAGTGCTTCCATTTGCCGCACCAAAACGCTTGAATCCATTACGTTCTTAGTAAAGATCCTTGGCAAAGGGAAGATAATCAACTTTCATTTCTGCTGGGGTTAAATCTCCTCTTTGATGGCTCTTAAGCACATCATACCTCGACACAAACCATATTGATCGACTCAATCGTTAAGAAGTGAAGGCAAAACAAAACTCTTGAGGCCTCACTAGCCTCACTTTCGCGCAACTAGACCTGGGCCAACCAAGAGTTCCCCATATTTTCATTCGGTGTATCCTTTATTAATTTAATTAATTAATTTATTTATCTATTCCTTTTCCTTATTTTCAACAGTTTACATACGTACACTACTTGGAATTGAAAGCTAACTAGAAAACCTAAAAGTTTATTTAGCTTCCCAGCTTGCACATTTTATTTCTCTTACACAGGGTTGTCAAAAAGATTTTAGGTAGCAGGAGAATGACAGAAAGTAGCCGGCATGTGTTTCCCGGCGGGGCTGGTAGGGGAAGACATATCACTGTTGATATAAACAGTTCAATCCAGGTTAGTAGCAGCTGTCAAACATGATTGCATCAAAACTGCGTCTGAATTAGTAAGTGAAACTTTGATGGAAGCATGCAAAGAAGCCGGATGGAAAGCCAGAGGCAGCAAAATTAAATGCAAATCACAAATAAAATGGTTCGATCAGGAATGTAGAACAGAAAAAGAAAACTTGCAATCCCTTAGGGAGAAAATTTCTTATGACATTAATAATTCAGAACTGAGACAACTACTGCGCGACAAAAAGAAGCGGTTCAAACAAACTTGTAGACGGAAGAAACGGGAGTCTCAGCAAAGGCATGTCTAATATCGATATGCAGAACTCCAAAGAGACCTGACGACAAATACATGTAGGAAAAATCTTTAACTAAGGAAAAAGAAAAACACATGGAGCTGAAGCAGTGAGTACGGAACAGTTTTATAAATACTTTTAGCAACAGAATGCGACCCCTGTCAATAATATACTAGATCTGGAGACGAATATGGAAACCCACAGTAATGAAAGAGTGAAAGGCCCAATTGAATATCCAATAACTGATAAAGAGTTCAAAACTGCAATTAACAAACTGAAAGCAAGC